ATAATAGAGGAGATGGAAATACCAATATTCTATCCATCCTGTGCTCTGTTTGACGGAGGTATATTTATTGCAGGCGGGCAAACAAATGATGCTCTTGATTCTGTTAAGGTTTTAGACCTCAATTCCTATACATGGAGATCTGTTCAAAGCCTAATTCATAAGAGGAGTGACGCCTTTATGTTAGTAGTTAATAATAGGTTGACTATTTATGGAGGATGGAATAATGAACTGGATCGTGCATCAACATTATCATCTTCAGAAGAATATGTGAAAGAAACTGGTTGGAAGGTTTTTCCTCTGGCATTTCCCCATGTTTTTCACACTGCAGTGGTGATGCCGTGTAACTAGGGAAATGGTCAATAATGGAAATCAATTTGGAAAATAAATTTATTTGATTGGGAAATAATTCTGGAAATGAAAAATATATTTTATATTTTTAAAACTGCTAAAGCATGATATTTTACAGATCACAATTTATAGTAGAGTTTTGACCCGTCTAACCAGGATAGGTTGTTTTGATTGGTTGACCCAAAGTTAGCTAACAACAATAAAATTAACATTTGTTTTGGTAGATTTGCACAGCGAAATAGACAGAAGGTATAACATATACAACATTACTGGTCTTGGCTTTGTGATCTCGTATCTCCTTTAGTTTTTATTCAACGCAAAAGTATGAGGAAGACTAGTTTATTTGGTTACATATAAGAAACTCAAAACTAGGGTTTCCATTATTCCGTAATAAAAATTCCAGTTGGAAATGGAATGATCCGGAAATTTGTTCCGTAAAGTGGAATTCAGGGATATTTCCTGAAGAAATGGAAACCGGAATTTTTCCGTAACCTGGATTCTGTAAACTTGAAATTTCCAGAACCATGTTTGGGAATTCCGGAACGTTCCTGAAAAAATCAGGTTTTTATTCTGTAAACCGGAAAAATTTCCGGGTTTCATTTTGTAACCTGAAACAATTTCAGGTTAAATTCCGTAAACTGGTATAATTTCCAGGTTTCGTTACATGAACTGGAAAAATTTCCTGGTTCCATTCCAAAAAAGAAAAACTTGCAGGAATGTTATGACATTTTCCAATATTTATTATATCGGAAAATGTCATAACATTCCATTTATGTCTAGCATAGTGTTGAAATGGGTAAAACTTTGGGGGAGGTGTTTCCATGCAGGGAGTTGTCCCCATGCACGAAACCGGTTCTACTTCTTTTAAAAACTTTTAATATTTACAGTACAGTATAGTACAAATTGGGACCGGAAAGGTTGACCCGGCTCGTAAATTAAAGTGTACTACTACTGCCGGTGTAAAACCTCAATAAGGGAAGCTATGTTTACAAACATTCTGTGTCAGGGTGCAATAGAGGCATTAACCATGAAGTATATAAAAATACTAGGTGTGTAGGATGGTAGAGACAAATAAAGTAGTCATCTCTGTGTGTCTGTTATTTGTGCAGATGTTTGTTAATAATTTTTTACATATATCTTCAAATACATTTCAAAATTTCTAACATATATCTTTTGAATATATTTTTAAATTGCAGGCAATTTGGATAAAAGACTCATTTTTAAAGGGAGTGTTCGCGAAAAATAAAAGGGGGTATAGGCTTACGGCGAAAAATAAGCGCTTTAGATCGCTACTAATCTTACTTCTATCTGTTGCATCTATAAGGAGAAAATTGTTAAAAACGACTCATAACGAAGAACGCAGCGTCCATACGAATTCAGAAAGTTGCAACATTTAACTCGGATCGTAAAAAAATCAATCTAATTCCAAACAAATCATTCACATATTACAAGCAATAATCATTGATAATTTTCGACGTCATTCTTATATAGTTGATATTTCATAATATTCTTTTTGATAATGAAGACGACATTTTCATATTTTCCAGGAATGCTCGAAAATCCAACGCCAGCGAAATATTACTTTAAAAAATTGAATCAAAAATATAATGAAATAATAACTATATACGAATGCGTCAAAAAATAATCGATGATTATTGTTTGTAATATCTGAATGATTTGTTTGGAATTAATTTGATATTTTTACGATCCGAGTTGAATGTTTCAACTTTCTAAATATGCATGTACGCAACGTTCTTCAGCACGAGTCGCTTTTAATAATTTTCTCCTTATATACGCAGCAGAAGTAAGATTAGTAGCGATAAAAGCGCTTATTTTTCTCCGTAAGCCTATGACCCCATTCGTTTTTCGCAATCTCTCCCTTTAAGCTAATCCTCTAATTACTGCACGATATTCAACCATCGTACAAGTACATCTTCCAAACTTCAAACTTCCCTACTCCAAACTAACCAGGAGGAAAAAGTCAAGTTCGACTTTGTGACATGGTTGGTCATATAGTTCTGATTTTACAAGTATGATAAAGTCAAATTTATTCGGTTTTATATTAACAATTCAAACCATGTTTACTCTTTTCAATAGATCTTTAATTTAAGATTCCATTCTGACATGAAATTTACTTTAGTTTGACGTGGTCCTATTATTAAGCTATCATCATATCTGTATACCCCCCCCCCCCATCTACTCTATTTAACTATTTTATAAATATCATTCCCCGCATTCCTAAACCATCCTTTAATATTTCAAAATGTTTTCTTTCCTTCCTTTCATAAAGATTTAATTGTTGTAAAGTCTATACGCTAGATCTCTTCCGTCTCTCAGCGCGCAAAACACGGATTAAGCGCAGTAGTGTTGCGACCGTGTTAGCGTGCAGACCTATGCGCGCCCATAGTGAGATAGTTAACGCGCTTTGAAACAAAAAAGTTTTTAAAAAAGAAACAGTAATAACAAAAAATGACTTTGTACAAAACTGAAAATTAATAAGTTCGTATACAATTATATAATTTTTGGCTCTAAATTCAATTTAACGAGTTTTAAAAACGGCCAAAAGCATTTCTCGTTTTTTGGAAACTAATTTATCGCCTTAAAAGAAATTACACAGAAGTTTAGGCATAGGGTTTTCTTGCTTTTTTATTTGCGTTTTTTAAGGATTTCTTATTTTGTATTTATTCACGTGGGATGAAATTTATGGGGCCCCTTTGAGTCGCGTATATTCTTAAGGCCCGAGGGCGTTTTGAAAATTATAAATATGGCACATATACTTCATTTTTAAAATTAAATGATTTGTGTGTGATTCTAAAAAAGTTTTAAAAAATAGCAAAAAGTTCAACTTAAGGAAAATTTTGTGTTTTTTTATTCTTAATTATTTTAAATATACCTATAAATATATAGATAGTTAAGTTTCTAAGAAGTATCTACTTAACAATTCACAAAAGGTCATTATAAACTTTAAAACTTTTTTCAAATTGTAAGTAAATGATTTTATATAAAACAAATATATTTCTGAAATATTAAAATATTAATTTATTTTTGTTAGATCAAATAATCTAAGTTTGAAATGTCTAAGGTTTACACCATCAAGATGCAAAGAAATAGGGAATAGAAAATTTGAGTTTATGGCAAAGACTTTCCCCCCCCCTCCCGTCCCTAAAAGTGAATTGATCATTGTTCTTATCTTAAACCTTTGGGCAATCTTGGTTTAAAGGTTTTGTCGGCTTGGTTTTGAGTTTAAACAAGCGTTTAATTAAATCCATGCAGGTTCCAATGTAAGGATTAAGGCCTAGTTAATGTAATTTAGAATTAACTCTGTTGGATAATTAACCCTCGATGGTTTAGGGTCAAAAACAAAGGCATTCTAGAGAGGTCTAATGTTTTGTACTAAATACTATAGTGGGTTGTTTAATGTCTTAAAATATGTTGGGTGTGTTGAAAAATGGATGTATTCATAAGTGTTTTTTTTACTTTTCCGACGTTCTTGTAAAAAAATAAGAATGATAAAACTTATGTTTGGGTCAAGTGATAAAAGCTGTAAATTTGTGTGGGGAGAATCACGTTAATCTAAAATGCTTTATCTCGATATCCAATGTGGGTACTTAACAATTTGAGGATAAACGCTTGACCCCTGCAGGACTGAACAGCACGGGATATCGAATAGGAAATAATTCCCAATACAAAAGTTCGGATTTCATTTCCTTTTTCAAGTTTACTCTGAATTTTTACATTGAATTGTATTCTATTCTACAGAGTTTCAGATTGTTTTGAATCTATATTTATTTGGTTATTTGTATATTTGTTAGCTATGGCTGGCCAAACGGCTGAACCGTATTGGCTTGCACTTTTTAGGGAACCCATATATGAGGTACCTTGTGGTGACATGCAAGGCTAACAAATAAAGTTGCATAAACGTCAGATCGAGTAAATAAACCAAAAGAACTGAGTTTTTGCAACAAATTCTAATTTTAAAATCGCTATATCTTTGCAATTTGATGGTGTAAACCTTTAATATTTCAAACTATCATTATTTGATCTTAAATATTTCATAACAGATCCGACATTGATGTTTTAAAGGTTGTTAATGATTCTTAACTGAACAGCTTGAGGAGATAAATAGCAAACATAAGAAAAAATGTTTTAAGGGAATGCCAACGTTGTTTTTTAAAGGGAATTTAAACGTAATTTAAAGTGAACCTTGATGCAACGATGGCAATGCCCGATTTACAATGGTACCCATATATATATATATATATACCCCCTTTCATTTTTTGCGAACACTCCCTTTAATCTGATCAAAATGTGGAAGATACAGCGGTTTAAAGACTCGAAAAGTGTTTATTTCCAAGTTTCTCTATAAGAAACCGAAAAGAAAAATGAACAGTTTAAAGAAACCAAACATTGATATCTAATTGATGTGTCAAGAGTACCGTATTAAATCGGGCATTGTCATCTTTACTCTTGTTATTCAAGTTTTTATTTAAAGTGTTAAATGCTAAATTCACCCCAGTACCATTTAAACCATTTACATGTGGGCAAGATATCTTGAAGGAGATTAATTCTGTTTATTTCCTCCATTGTGAACCACTTGAAATTACTTCTGCAGTCTCTTTATTTTCTTAAATGAAATATACTAAATAAACAAATCATTATTTAAATTTAATTTATAGCAGCATTTTTTTCAAAAATAGATAACAAAAACAAATAGTAAAATTAACTCATAACTAAGAAATAATATTTGGATGATATCAAATTTTTCGGTCCAGTTCTGCCATCATCTCTGGGATAGTCTCTGGAAGTGGCCTATCCTGGGTTTCTTGGAGAAAAAGACTTAAAATGCCTCCAGTTAACCCCAGAATTCCAAAAATTGTAAACTGAATACCCGGCGATGTCTCTCCTGCCATAACAATGAAAGGAGCAAGGATGGATCCAACCCTAGCTGTAGCTGACATGAATCCTAACCCGGAGTTTCTGATGCTTGTGGCGAATATTTCTCCAGAAATAATGTGCGCAACTTTAAAGCTTCCAGCGATACACATCTTTCCTATTAGAGCAAATGATGTGATTAGGTATTCCATAGATGTTCCAGCCACAAAATGTATGAAGATACATGATAAACCACTGAAGAACATGAACAAGGCTAACCCCAGCCTTCTACCCAGCTTTAAGAAAAAGATGTAACAAAGAGCTAGTGCTGGTAATTCAGCCAGCCCTCCTAGCACCATTCCAGTGTATAGATCAGTGCCTATGTCTCCTGAAGCCAGGGTTAACCCATAATACGTTGCTCCATTGATAAACCAGATAAAGCTGAGAATATACAACATATGGGTCAACCTTTTCCGCCCTAGAAGGTTCCAAATTCGTTCTATAGGAAGGATAGGTATGCTTTGTTTACGTAAGCTGAGAAGATGGGGGCTTGTACCATTTCCTTTTCTTATAACTTCAAGAACAGCCAGAGCTTCCTTCAGTCTGCTCACATTTAGAAGCCATCTAGGGCTCTCCACCAAATACCAGTTGACACTGAGAAATAAACATCCTATAAGAGACACTGTCATTGTAAGAGATCGCCAATCTTGAATGATGAGAGCTAATCCTGTCAGTAACATTATTCCTATTGGAGTAGCTCCCATGACGGCAAGACCATAAAGTCCTCTGTAGTTCGAACCCACTAATTCACTTACTAGCACTATGATGGATAATACTTTTCCAGATACAAAGAAACCGACTAGAAACCTGGCAGTGATATAAACGCCGTAGTCAGCTGTGATTGCTGAGATACCATTAAAGGTTATAACTCCGCACAGAGTGATCATCAAACTAAACTTTCTTCCTATTCTATCAGCAAGTGCTCCCAGGAACAGAGCACCAATTAGGAATCCAAGCATTACCATGGACATTGATGCTTTAGCCATCCAGTTCCGATCACAAACAAGATCCCATTCTGCTACAATTGTCCTCTCCGCATACGTGAGATTTGTGCACGCTGCTACTTTGCTCTCAAAACATTGATTTTCCAGAACTTGTTCCCCTCTGAAGCACTGGAATGCAGTTGGTCTTGCTACAAATGTGTACTGCAAGATAATAAAGGGGGTGTACACTTTGAGTAGAAACAGAACAGCACCATATTTTATCTGCTGTTTTCCAGATTCTCCGATCTCATGATAGATCTCATCAATCTCCATCTAAATATAAATTATTCTGGAATCAATAAAAAGATCAATTCATAAATCAATTGAGAAAACCAAGCGATCAATTCATCAAATAATTAATAAATTCACTAACCAGTAGATCAAATTAATAAGTTTAGCATCCTTTGATCAAGCAAAAAATCAATCATTTCAAAAACCAATTGAGCAATTCCTTAACCGTTTGATCAGATCATTATATTAATTGGTACATAATTTAATAAACCAAACGATCAATTTACAAATCAATCGAAAAATTCCTGAATGATTTTCACATCATGAAAAAACTGAAATATAGAGCTTTCGAATGACACCTTGATCGTAAAAATTGAACGAAAATTGATTCCTCAGTTACTAATACCCCTACTGCACAGTTTTTTTTGAGACACCCTGTATATAAATACTTATATATACCTTAACTTATATTTGTCTACTATATGAGTATTTACTAAGTTTAAGCCACCTGTTGAAATCTTATTTAAGACTAAACATCTTTCAAAACAAAATATACCAGATGAATTTATTTTTCTTATACTTAATTATACACTTGTTCTATTCTATTGCATGAAATTTGCTTATTAAAAATCAAATATATGTTTTACTAACTGTACAGTGAACATTGGATAACTTAAGTTGGAATTTAGATTGAAAAAAATAGAAAATGGAAGAAAATTTAATTTTACTTTTAATTGATGGTGATATATAGCTATAGCGCACAAACAGAATACAATTCTGAAATGTTTGATTTAGTAGATATTATAAAATGTGTATAAAATTCCTTTTAATCTTTTTACCGACATTCTCTTGAATCTTATGGTATACTTGCTCGGGAACCCAGCGCTGCACAGGGTACTAAAAGTTACTCCCAGCGTTTACCCGCACTTGAACGAGGTACGATCGGACAAACTAACAGACAGACAGACAAACAGAGATTGCAACTTTATGTATATATAGATTCTCGTTGAGAGTATCTCAAAATAATGGAATTTGATTTTTTGTGATATTTAAAAAAAGTTGATTATCTATCTATGGTAAGCTTGAAATCTATAATCGTAAACTACATTTTTAAAAAATTTCCTTGCACAGAGAATTAATGGTTTAAAGCGAGGCTTATGATCTTATCTTAAATTCTCAGCGCTTTATACAATTCTGCTTTATGGGGGGAATAGTTAAGCAGTAAACTTACTTTTTAATTATAAAACCATTGATTAATTAACAATACTGAGCTGAAAACTTTAGAATGGGATATCCTTAATCCTGATCGGTCAATTAATCTGGAGAATAATAACAAGAGGAGAACAAGCATTATTTAATCTCGAGATTAAGAAAAAGAGTGGATTAAGCCTTAATCCCGATATCCACTATTCAAAAGTTCCCAGCTCAGATAGAACACCACAGGTAGAACACTATATGTCGTTTTTTCAAGATTCAGGGTTTTTTCGTTTATAATAACCCTAAGGCAAAGCCCAAAGGAGTTACTAGCCCCAAAAAATACTTTTAGATCAAATAATCTAAGTTTGAAATATCAAAGGTTTCCACCATCAGGTTGCAAAGATATAGAGAATAGAAAATATTAGTTTGTGGCAAAGACTCAATTCCTTTATCTAACTTTTGTAAAGATCAAACTAATCTTAATAATAGGCTTACAGCTTAATTCTGATTACACATTTATTTGCACAGTTAGGCTCAATAAATTGTCAAATTCACAGTGTGGGCCACCTTTATTAAGTGTTTCATGGAATTAGTGGGCCAAAATTGTAAAGAATGGGTCCCAATAATTGTCATCCATGCACAATGCACATAATATCTTAAAAAACACAATTGAAAATAATCAGTTCTTAAAATAAAAAAAAATTGATATCTCATTTAAACTTGATCAGACTAAGCTATTTAAGGTACCGTTGTTAATCGGTAATTTACAATCATTGCATGAAGTATCACTTGAAATCACATTCACATTTCCAGCTTTAACTTTCTTTGTGATTTTCATTAGTTCGCACACTTTAGTAATGCACATTTTATAGGTATTTTGATCGACATTGAATACCCATCCCCCAGCACCCCTCTTGGATATCGAAT